GAATGACTGGCGCGGTGCTGCTGGGGTGGCGTGCTGGGCCCTCCTCGGCAGGCAGAGTTTCAGAGCCTCATCATCTCTCTTTTTCTCCTCACATCTCTTCCGCATGGATGTAACAGCCGCACCGAAGAGACCGTGAGGGACGACAGGGGTGTCGAGGAGTTCCTCTTTTTCCTTGGTCGTCAGGTTGGTGAGCCCGAGCCAGCGTGCTCGCTCCTGAAGAACCATGAAGCCCATGGCTCTCCCAGTAGCCTGTATGGCTACCTTGTGGAGGCGGAGGACGTGGTCAGTCATAACGCAGATTTCGTCCCACACTGTGGTATCTGGGTTAGCTGTCATGCCCTCTTCTAGCTCAGCTTGGTAAGCCATTAGCATAGAAGAGGAGTTGTGGGCTCTTACTGACAGAGCCGCTGCCTTGTAGCACTTATCTGTAAGGCTAGACTGGAAGCGGTCTGTTTTGGAGGGGAGAGATGGAGCCGATGAGGACAGAGACGTTTTCGGGTGAAGATGGCTCGCCACCAACGGCTCCACTTGTGGCATCTGGCGGAGGCCGATAGACTCCATCCCCTCACAATCCAGCAGAGAGCTCCCCACGATGGGGTGTTTCTCGCTGTAAGGTTTTGCTTTCCACGTCACCGCTATCTCATCGAGTAGCTCAGGGAAAACAGGCAACACACGCTTCCCCGTCTTTTTCGCCTTCGGCAATTTCTTACCATCAAAACGAGACTTTACAACCTCTGTTTGTATGGCGAGCCACGGGATGTTGAGCCTAGCGGCTGCGCGCTTGCACATGTCCTGCATGTCGAGATCCAGGGGAGACGGCGGTGTCGGTTTTTCAACCTCGCCGGTAGCCGAGGGCTTTGCAGCCCAGCTGATGCTAGCCAAGGAGGTGAAATCTTCCTCCTCGCCGTCGTCAGACAGCAGGAGCTCCGAGTAAGCAGACTCATCTCCGTCCTCGTTAGCATCTCCTCCCCAGGTGACTCCAGCATCGGGGAAAACACAGGATCTCCGTGTGCCTCCAGCGATGGGAAAGCGGTCGCGATGGGCTGAGGGTCTGCCTCTGCCCAGCTCGGCCCTGGCGTTGCAGCCAAATCATTGGGCATCTCAGCCATGGTTAGCTAGAGGGTTGCGCACGTTAGCGAGACTGACACTGAGTGCGGAGAATATTGCTTTTCCTCGCTAACGTGGGGTGAAAAGTGTTGCTACTTTTCTACAGGTATTGCTACCTAATGTGTAAAACCGCTAGCGTCAAAGGGTATTGCTACCTGATGGTGAAGCTAGGGGTACCTTTATTAGCAAAGTATTGCTACTTCCCTGGGTGAAAGTATTGCTACTTGGCACCCGCACTAGCTACAGAACAGTATTGCTACTGCTTGTATGCCAGTGGACAACTGAAAAGCTGGGAACAAAGCGCCCGGCGACCGAGTTGTTCACTCGAATCTGTGGACAGTTTAGCTTTAGCACCCAATAGCACAGTTGTCTACAGGCTTCTGCGAGAAGCGAGAAGAGGTTTTTGAATGACATCTGACGCTATGTCAGCCTATTATATAGGGAGGCACCGGCCCCTCCTGACATGGGCGTCACCTAGCCAGCCTGTAAGGGCTGGCGTAATGGTATTTAAACTTCTGATGAGGTCACGCAGGAGGCGTTCCCATAGTGAGACACGAAACGAATGCTATGAAAGAGAACCACATTTTAAACATTAATATGTTTTTTATGGAGCAGGGCTGTGCAGAGATGTTTAAAGGGGTGGGTGCTCAAAGTTAAAAAGGGGCACATTGAACCAGGCTGAATAACAACAACACACATTCATCAAGAATCTAATATGGGATCACCCCATACTATATAACTGTCATCAGCTAGGGACAAGGCAAAGCAAATGTAGCCTTTGTTTTACCTCATGGGTACAATGTTGCTGTTGAGGGGTTTCTGCTGCTCCTGCTGCTGATAGTGCTGGAGGGCAAGGCTGTGTTGATCTGAGACTGTAGACATTAAAATATCCACAGGAGAGATGGTAGCTGATTAAACAAGTGTTATGAGATAATAATAATGAGAAATCAACTCTACCTGTGACTCACTTTTTGGCTCTTTTCCTCATCTTATCTATCACTCTCCACTTGCTGTCCATCTGAGAACACACCTGAACACGCATTCATCTATTATTTAATTATCCACACTTCAAAACTCTTGCACCTAATTGATAATAAAGTAATAATTGAAAATGTTATAGAACCATCCTTACGTGGCATGTCTGTCAGTTTTATATCATGTTTCTTTATATATCATGAGTAATAATTAAAAAAAAATCTGAACACATTAAAACACACACACACAGAAACATTTTATACCTTTTCTAGAATACTGTATATGCTATGGCCACACATTTGCATCACGGTGCTAAAAAAATACATTAATATAAAATAATGTATATAAAATCATTTTTGTTTCACTTCCCACTCTGTGCAGGCAGAAAGTTTATTAAATGTTTAAGGTGAAGATAGAATAGTTCTGCAGCTGTAAAATCACCATTTTGTCATCTTTGAAATATAAATCAATATAATCGGTTCTTAATGTATTTCCTTTAAAATACTGTAAAAATACCATAACTGTAATATAGTTATGTGGATATGCATATTAGATCGTTTTTAGTCAGATATAAGTCCATATACGTCCTGAAAACCAGGAAACGCCCTGTAACTTACTTTAAAACTGTTCCCTAAAACAGATTGGACAGAGCTACAGACCCATGACACCCTTACCATGACCACCACACCTGTGCAGGTAATAAAAGGACAGGTGATGTTTGTCGCGCTGTTACACACACAGCACGCTCATTTATTTCAATTCATCGGTTCTCACGACACAACTTACCAACGTGTCCATAATAAGCTAATACTGCTGTGTGCTATAGACTACAGTGTACGCTGTACACCTACTTACTGCTTTTGTTGCATCAATGTGTGCCTCTGAGTTAATTTCTGTTTCTCCTACAGCGAAGAGACAGCAAGAAAATGCACGCGGTCTTTGCGAGCTCGTTCCCGTCTCGTAATCAGCGCGTTCTGCCGTCAAGGGCGATCATTGGTTAATGGTAGCCATGTGATTGATACAAGTCACATCGTTTTATTTAGCAAAACTGTGATTAATAGTAAAATATTATTGTTGAGGGGCACAGGCAGGACTCCACACGCACACACACATGTTTTTTAAACAACAGCCTAAAGAAAGGGGCAGTTTGGACACCCATCGGGAAAGGGGCAGGTGCTAAAGCCCCCCCACCACCCCGACGTGGCTGTTATGGAGAGAGAGCGAGGCTGACATGCTAAAAGCTGCTATTCTGACCTAAATATATGCATTAGTTGTTTAAAAAAATTTAATAATGCGTTTTTCAAAATGAAATTAATTTTTTCGATTATTAAAACACATAAACGCGTGTTTTCTGCGTTGACCTTACCTGTATGCAGAGAGAAAACGGCACAAACTCTAAGAGCGGTTACATAAAACATGTTTATTTTAATATCATTTCGTTGTTTCTGCCTGTCATCAAGTAGATTTTGGTATCTTTGCCTTCTTCAGTACATGAACCTCTTTTGATTGCACTAAGTATGGTGGTTTTAACCCACTGATAATGCTTTTTTGGTTAGTATGTTTAATTGTTGTATTTTAAAATATAAAATTTTAAGACCATTGTTGGTTGTAATCTAGTTCAAACCAAACTACTCCACTGGATTTAGCTACACTTTGGACAGTGTTTGCATGGTCAGATGCAGGAATTGTACTTCCCAAAAAAAAAAGAAATTTACGTCCTCAGAAATGAGGCACAAAAATAACGCCATAGAGCAGCAACACCTGAACATCACCATTGTACCCATCAGGTAAAACATAGGCTACGTTTGTTTTGCTTTGTCCCCACCTGATGACAGCGATATAGTATGATGTGATCCCATAGTAGATTCTTGTTGAATGTGTGTTGTTGTCCAGTTTGGTTCTCTGTTCCCCTTTTTGACTTTGAGCACCCGCTCTCTTCAAACATGTCTGCACCGCCCTGCCAAAGACACACCTCCATTTGCATTTCAAAACAAACAGCTTCTTTCAGTTAGTGCAGATCAACAGTTGCACAGCTTTCTTGCAGACATGTTGTCCTTTGAAGTTTTCCTGTCCCTTCCGATCTTGGTGGGATGTAGATTAGAAGGTGAGTTTGTTTGGGAGACGGTAAGACGAAAAAAGACGAACTCGTGACTGTGTTTTTTAATCAGAATGTAAACATTGATAATGTCATCGTGCATATTGCAATGTTTGCAAGTTAGGACGGAAACAGATGGTGCATGTATGTCTGTGAAGGTTTCAAGCAACCTTTCTTTGCATGCTCCTTAAGCTGGGCAGACACTGCGATTTTTTCAGTCCAGCATTAGACAGTTGGTGCATGTGTTATTATGCGTGGAATAAAATGTCAGCGAGTTTAAGACTTATTTGACATGCAATGCAGAGGAACATGCAAACTCTCATGTCTCTTAAACACAAGTGAAACATTTGGGTGTGTTTTGTAGTGTAGTTTCAAGCAGATGCAGTTTTTACAGTGTTATGTGGGGAGATTGTCAGGCAGCTGTTTCTGCAGACAGTCAGAGAAAAGAGAAAGTCATGCTCACAGTTTAAGGAGCAATATTTTTTCAGTTCCATTTTAAGGTGGCATCGCTCTAACCCCGCAACAGTTTGATCTGATGGGTTCCGCAAAAGCTCTGGCAACAACGCATAAGTCTAGTAGGTACTTCCGTATTTTTAAACACTACTCATGCGACACGTACACGTGCTCCTCCCCTTGTTCACTGCTGTGTTTTTGTTATGTTGTCACGTTGCTCTGGCTGTGCAGACACGTGCAGGTTGCATGGGGGGCTGTATGATAGCAGCAAATGTAAACAATGTGCACTGCGGGAAAGAAACTGCCTACTGTGACAACTTCTCTAATTTACACAAACACATGAAAACAGCAGCAGAAGAAACTAGATATCTGGAGGCTGGCCGAGTGGTTATGGATTAGTATTATTATTATTACTTTACCAGAGTGGTTACCTGAAAATATTTTCAGACATTAAAATTATTTATTTGAATTGTGTTGAATGCATTATTCTTTGGAACAGAAAAAAAAATACGTTGAACCTGAAATTTGAAAACAAAGTGAAGAATATAATAACTATGGAGAACTGGTGAACTGTTAATCATCCAGTGTCCATTGGACTAGAGCATGGATAGGACCAGTTTGAGGCTAGCAGGAACAAAGTGTGTTGTTTCAGCCAGCATATAGTTTGAGCTGGATCAGGTGACCGTGAATCCTCCTTCAGTTACGTTGTAATATGTCTAAGCTGCTGGAGGATTCCCACAATACATTAAATGTTTCTTCTTCACTTGCCTTTTTCACTCATTGTTTTTTTTTTTTCACCTCTCTGCATTTAATCGTTATTAATCTCTGGCTCTCTTCCACAGTATGTTTTTTGTCCCATCTCCCTCCCCACAACCCCAGCCAGTTGTGGCAGATGGTCACTCTTTGCTGAGCCTGGTTCTGTCGGAGGTTTCTTCCTTTTAAAAGGGAGTTTTTCCTTCCCGCAGTCACTAAAGTGCTTGCTCACAGGGGGTCATCTGATTGTTGGATTTTTCTCTATATAAATATAAAGTCCCTTGAAGTAATTGTTGTTGTGATTTCACGCTATATAATTAAAACTGAATTGACACTATTATTTTGTCTGGATTAATCTTTTTTTTTTTTTCGAGTTAAAGGCCAAAAATGTGTCCGAGCTGCGCAGCTCATTAGGACAGATTTTGCTTCCCGTGGTAAGAGTTTATCAAAGCCTGACGTTGATTAGGCGAACGAGAATTTGAAAGGTACCAGGTATTTTTCTGCCCCAAGACATCCTCCTTGAAAATTGTAATCATGTCTAGTATTGCATACTTGGGTGGCTGTAGCTCAGGTGGCAGAGCAGGTCACTAATCAGAAGGTCGGTGGTTCGATCCCAGGCTGCCTCCTGGCTGCATGCCAAATATCCTTGGGCAAGATACTAACCCCATGTTTGCCTACTGGTGGTGGTCAGGGGGCCCAGTGGCGCCAGTGTCCGGCAGCCTCACCTCTGTCAGTGCGCCCCAGGGCAGCTGTGGCTACAACGTAGCTTGCCATTGCCAGTGTGTGAATATGTGTGTGTGAATGGGTGAATGACTGAATGTAATGTAAAGCGCTTTGGGGTCCTTAGGGACTGAGTAAAGCGCTATACAAATGCAGGCCATTTACCATTTACCATTTACTTTTTATAAATGCTTGCTGGTAAAGATAATTAAAACAGTGAATAAAATGTGATTTATTTGAAACAGTCCTGAGTTACTGAAAACATTTCCTCTGGAGCTGCAGTCTTGGCACTCTGTATTTAATGAATATCATTTTATGTTTAGGTATTGTTTTTTTAGCTTGATGCCTCAGTTGTTGCATCTTGGAATCTACAAGGTACTCAATTACATTTGCACAGCAAGAGTTACAGTGGTATAGGCAAGCTGTAATTAAAGAAAAAGAGGCCAGACATGCAAGAGTGCGCCTGTGTGCCAAAATAGGGATGTTTGCTAATAACTAAATGGCATGTGCCTCTTACTCTATAATGAATTGTAACAGTTACAAGTGATTGCTGAAATAAAGTTAAATAATAAACAGACTATGTTTTTTCTTTTTTCTTTTTTTACACTCCTACAGCATTTATGTCAGCAGTAGTTCCAAATGGTTTGCTGTTTTTTGATTTTCTTGTTTTTTTTTAAAAATTGAGATCATAATAAAATGTTTATTAGACCTGTCAGTTTTCCTAAAACATTTTGCTTGTGCAATGCAACAGTCTGTCATGCACCGTTTTCTGCACAGTTCTGCATGGAGGTTTTATGAGATCAGTATAATTCCCCAAAGACTCAAAGTCAGAACAGAGAGATGCCTTTAGAACAGCACAGGTTATCAATAACATCACATGACACACTGTAAAAGTGTTCCCTCTTCTTCAGGGGGCTTATTGATCTTGTGTGTAAATTTGAACAGCTTTTGTTTAGAAGCCAAATAACACATCAGGCATAAAGAATGAAAGCATCTGACGAAATAGCAGCAGGTGAGACCTATAATAACATCAAGAGGAAAAAGAGTTCACCAGGTGCTTACCAGGGGAAATGAATCTGCACCACAAATGCTAGGATCAAAGTACAACAGGAAAGAAATACATTAACCCCATTTTCCACATACCTGTGAGAAATAGGTCATCTGTCAAATAGGATCTGAGTACTTGCCGATACTGACTACAAAAACCGATACTTCTACCACACACCCACACAAATGCAATGAATTGGAAGACAGGTTTTATTTTATTCTCTGCCGATAAAAAATAAAATCTTAATAAAAATGACCACAAAAAAATTTCAAGTGAAAAATAAGCACTTCTGTTAAATTATTGCAGAGTCTCCACATTGTAATTTAACAAAATATCACTGAACTATTGGCACTGTCCCGAGCTTTCAGAATAATAAATAAACACTTCTGTTTATTTATTATATTTCATATCACAGCTCAAGTATGCTGAGAAGAATCCTATGTTTTCCACAACCGGCATTGGCTGGTCATCCAGAGCGATAAAATGAGTCAGAGCCTCTGTTATTTTAACTGCCCGTGGATTTTCTCTTGACATTTTTCTTCGCTTTTCCAAAACCTGAGTTAAAGTTGGCTGTTCCACACTGCTGACATTTTGTTTAGCCTAGCTACAGCAGCCTCCAGTTTCTCCTTTTTATCTGGAGCTGCCAGTCTCACTTGCCTAACCCTGTGCCTGTTTAGCGCGAGATGTCCCCCTAGTGGCCAATCTAAAAAACTACAACAGAAATGACAAGCCACCCTCTGATTAATGAAATAAGTTGGTATCGGTTCATGGTATCGGTTAACTTTTACGAGTAAGAGTACACACACATTTTACAGTATCGGCCCCGATACCAGTATCGGTATCGGTGCATCCCTAGCTGGTTTTTTTTGGTTGTTTTTTGAGATCAATATGATTTTCTCAAAGTGTGACTCAAAGTCAGAACAGAGAAATACTTTTGGAACAGCACAGGTTATGAATGATGTCATATGATAGATATGATGTAAAAGTGTTCCCTCCTCTTCAGGGGGCTTATTGAGCTTGTGTGTGAATGTTAACAGATTTTTTTTTAGAAGTCAAATAACACATCAGGCATAAAGCATACTAACCTAACAATGATAGCAGCAGGTGAGACTATAAGAACAACAGGAAAAGAGTTCACCAGGTCCACTCTGCTAAAATCCAAATTACAGACCTTACACTGTAATCTTGCTTACAACCAGCAGGGGAAACTAATCTGGTTCACAAATGCTAGGATCAGAGTACTACAGGAAAGAAATACATTAACTCCATTTTCCACATACCTGTGAGAAATAGGTTGCATGTACTCTTTATAATCAAGCTGTGATTAGTGGAGATGGGCGGAGTGATCCAAATATCCATAGTGCCTAACCTATGGATAGCATTAAAATATGTGCTCATAAATCGTGAAATATTGCTCTGCCCTACATAAGCTTAAAGGTTAAAAGTATTGGTATCAGAATTAGCAATAGTGGCCCTTTGTTTACTTGATGGAATCAATATCAGAAATTGCAGTATTGCACGGCACTAATGATTCAGGAGCCAGGAGAAGAGTTCATCCTGCATTCACAAGTACTGGTCAGGGGAAGAATATCATGGACTCCTTAAATAGATATCACTGTCCGTCCTACAGAAACGGTCTCATTAAGCGAAAGTCTTTGTCTAGTATATAATTTTTATGTCATAAATAAGAAAAACTATAGTTTATGTCGGTTATTCTGTTATTTTTTTTTCACATGTTTGCTTTAAAAGTCATGCAAACCATAAATGTGTGAATGCTGACGTCACCACCAGCAATAATAGTCATAATATAAACCTCTAATTTGTATCCTCACCTCAGGAAAAAAAATCTCCTTAAAAAGTGACAATTTTCTTAAAACCTATAGCTTCGTGTTTAGAGTCTCAAACTGTGGCCCACTTCACCCCTGCTTTCGGTCCGTTTATTGGCATGAAGAGATGTAAGGCAATTTGGCCTTTGAAGTTACTTTTTTTGTTATGGAGGATTTGTATGTTTATTCTGTAAAAACCAAAAACATATTTAATATGAAGACAATATGAGCAGAGAGTACAAACATGTTGAGGGGTTAGTTGTGTTAGTTCAGTGAGAGAGTTTGTAAAGAAAGCTAATGTGTACACTTTTGTTAAATGTTTATTTGGTAGTTCAATGAAAAGCTTCAGTTAGTTAGGAGTGAGAAAGAAGAGATTTGCACTCTTGCAGTCTTGTCTTGTTAAACAATATTTGAAATAAAAAAAACCCTAAAACATTACATTTTTGAACATATTTGTGGGTGTTTTCTTGTTTGTTTGTTTGTTCTACTTGAACACTAAAAGAGCCTTCCAATGAGATTACAGTGCCAGCAGTTGCCCACAGCTCATTTCGGTTTGAGACACCTGGTTTGGAGCAACATGTACATTTTTGCTGGCTTTCTTCATATATTAACCATTAAAGTCTTTGACAGAGTTGCTTCTTTTTACTCTGCCATACATGGTCGCAGGTTTGAGTGGCTCTTGTGAGAAAGTTGTTTTGACAGAATAAGTGGAGGAGAGATGTCATGCTCAAAAAGCTCATGCAGTATAGCAAACAATAGCAGAGGATTTCAAACATCAGAGCTAATCAGAAATATTTCAGTCAGGAGTTTTCTAAATTATTAACACTTTAATCTGCAGTACATCTCAAAGATGTGCAGTAACACATTATTGATGTTTGTTTTTTCTGTTCTCTTTGTGTTTATATCCCCCAGAGCTCAAAGTGAGGCCTGGAGAAGATTCCATTCTTCAGTGTCAGAGTCCCAGAGGTGACGTCATCATCCTGCTGGAGTGGAGAAGATCTGATCTCAAGTCAGACACCTATGTGTTCTTCTTCCGAAACCAGCGTCCATATGAAAACTACCAGCATAAGTTCTTCAAAGGCCGAGTGGAGCTGAGAGATCCAACCATGAAGGACGGAGACGTTTCAGTGATTCTGAAGAACGTCAGCACCAGCGACACGGGAACATACGAGTGTGAGATTACAGTCAGGAACACAGAAGGTGTCGTGACTGAGACTAAGCACTCTGTCAACCTCACAGTCACAACCTCAGGTGAGTTTGTAGATTGTCATTATCATTAGTAGTAGTAGCTGACTGTAGACATGGGGAGGACACAGTCCAGTGTACTCCTAGTGCCAGTGCCAAGCTCAGAATATTTGAGAGGGTTGTGTCAGGAATTAGACATAAAATATGTGACAAATCAAACATGTAAATCATCAACAATGAGTTTATCATACTGGATCGATTTGGGTTAACCCTGACTGCCCCTGGTGCTTTTGGCCAAAAAGGTGAAAATGTGCTACTTTTGGCCAAAGACAAAGGAAGAGATGAGGGGGATGGTGTGTTAGGAGGCAGTGAGAGAGAAGGAAAGGCAAGAGTGTGGAGATGAGTGTAGGGACTATGACAGGTAACGATAGAGAGTAGGGTGACATGATGGAGAGAAGGACGGTAGATATACTCTGTAGGAAGGAGACCAGGTGAAAGGAAAGCAAGGCCAGGCGCAGGTGTATTCAAACTTTTCAACTGTGGTGTAGTCAGAAAGAGAAAGTTGGAGTAGGGGCAATTGTTAATAAAGAAGTTCAAAGGTCATTCAAGGACATGATTGTAAGTCATTACCTTAAAATAAATATGTTTAAGAAACTCAGGAGAAGAACAAAATAAATTCACCTTAGCTGCCGTCGCATATGAGAGGTGAACGAGTGTTTGAGTGATGAGTTTGAATGACCACAGCAGGTCCACACAATAGTTATTAGCCAAATATCAGCAGATAAAATCAATATGTATTATTCTGATTGTTCTGCATTATTCCCAGCAGCTTAACTGTTTGAAAATGTGAAAGATGAAGTATTTTCAGCATACTCGGTGGTTAGACTCCTCACACCTGTTTCTACTCTGCAGGTTTCACAGATGAAGACACCAAGGATGGAGGAGACAAGGATGGAAGAGACAGGGATAAGTTGCTTCCTGTCATAATACTTTTTTTAGTTTTTGCTTTCGTTATAATAATAATTACTGTTATTTGCATAAGTATCCACAGAAAACAGCATAGAAATTATGTGTAGCTAACAACAAATGTTAAACAGCTGATGTAAATGCCTGAGGTCTGCGTACTCCTGAATGATTGGAGGTCCTGCTGTTCCATAAAAATGTGAATGTGTTTTAAAAGGTGTGATTTTATTAGAACTGCGTGCAGCATCTCTCTTTTCTCACCTTTTAATCACAGATGAGACTTAAATCTCTGTGTTAGTGATCAGAAAATATCAACAAGGCTGCTGTGGATACCATTGTGCATCTTGCACATTATTTTCTTTTCTTTTGTTCAAGGCTTTCTATCCATCCCTGGTGTTAGATTACGAAATTAAAATTGTAAATAAACGAACAAACGAATGGAAAAACCTCTATAAATATAATTAAGAAATCATTTTCTTTACTAAAAAAATATATATATTTGAATTAATAATTAACACGAATAAGATCATATAATCTAATTTGATTATAGTATAACTTAATATTTATTTAAAAATACAAGTCTTAATATGAATGTGTTATTACAGAATTATACAGTATGAATTATGAAATCGTCTATGATCTATGAAAAATATCAAAACCTCTCTGCTCTGTGAAAACCTGTTAATGCTCTCTGAGCAGGGACAAGCTGGCACCCCCTACAGTTTAGACTGATCAGATCAAAGATCAGCAGCTATGAAATCACCTACTACCCAATGAGTTTTTGCTGTCCCCTACCTGTCACAGGTAGGGGACAGCAAGAGGGTCTAAAGAGTTTTAATATGGGTCTGATGTCTTTGTGTTTTCATGATCAGTTTCAGCAATGAATGTAAACTCTTAGATGCAATTTTGTAGCTTTATTTTTTTTTTCTGTTGGCAGCAACAGATGTTTGAAGTCTGTTTTTATATTTAATCTTGACTCTCAAACACTTAAACAGCTGAAAGAATAAAATCTAAAACTGTCAGGAGCAGGTTAAGCCTGAACTTACTAAATCCACGCAATGGAGCACAAACTGTGTGTGGCAATGTCACAGGAGTGTGTGTGTGTGTAGTCATTTGGTGATTTATAAATGTAATTGTTCTAATTCTAATTTGTAGAATCAGAGGAGTGTCATCATGGCTAATGTGTGGCTTAACAAGCTGCTCATATAAAACGTGTTCCCCGAGCAGAGAATCTATATCAGCAGAAATGTAGTGCTTCCAGATTATTTGAAGCTGACATCCAGAACATAACGTCCTTGTGACAGTTTAATTTTTTTTTATCCTCTCCCCTGGATTTTAAATAAAACAACAGAATCCAAATCCAAATTTGATATGAAGCCAGTAAGTATTGTGCAGGTGTCCTGTTTTTGTTTAAGATGTTAATGCTTATAGAACAATAAAAAGATGTAAAATTTTAAAGTTGTTTGCTGCAAAAAGAAAAAAAAAGATCAACAAGTAAAGTTGAGTTTAAGAATTTAAATTTATTGCTGATGCTCATTGTTACCATGGCGATTTACTCCAGTAAGAAGCGAGCCACCCATGTAGTACAGAAAACCCAGGTTGACTCTGAAGTTACCTGAATATAAGGCAAAATCCTGCCTTGCATGTTTGCTCCTCACTTTGTGGCCTTCAGAGTTTGAAACACAACCTGCAAGCATTTTATTTTTATTTTATTTTATTTTTTTGTCTTTGTAATTAAAATGTTGATGTTTCACTACATTGTTGTTTCCGTGTTAAACTTCTCTGTTGATCAGTGGTGGGGTGGTGGCCATTTATCATCCTTTTGATTGTCAGGACATTTATGGACCACGTTTTTTTAATGGCCAACAAACCTCCCTGACAAATATCAAGCACAGAGTGACATGTAAGATTGGACTTGTGTGTCACAATGTAATGTATCATAGAGTAATGCTGTGATGATTGTAGCATCTGTATGTTTGTATGTTTGAGGGGTTGATAATGTGATTGTTTTAGTAAAGATGTTTTTATCCTTTTATCTTTTGTGCATTTGTCTTAAGTAACTTTTAAAAAGTTAAAAATGGTTTCATAATTATAGGGGACAAAAGCCTGATTTAAACCTGATTTTGTCATAAGGTCAATCTGTTTTCTTACCACGTTAATTACACCCTGCATGGTCTGTTCCTCACTCCTAGTGTGCAGTGGCCCGCAAGCCAACCTGATAAGTTCGATAAATGTGTTTTTATAATAAATAAAAAATGTAGCTTTAATTAAAATCTTTTTTTAAGATATGTGATTAAAAATTAAGGTTTTGTTAAAAGTGGTATAAAGTGCAAAGTTTGTTTGAGGTAGAATTTGTGATGGTCACATGACCACAGTTAGCTGAGAGCACAACCCTGGCATTGTGGGCGAGAACTAGCGTGGATACAGAGCTACATGCGGCTACAGCCGCAACAGTAATGCTATTCTGCATGTGGTCTAAGAGGCACACACAGTAATGATTTTCATGTATGTTGTATATAAAGTTTCTAATTTTCATTAGAAATATGAGGATACTTTTAGTAATATCTTTTATTTTTGTATTTTTCTGTTATGCCAGCTCAAGACTGCTTACAGACTGTGAAAAGGTCTGAGATATTTTCTTTGTGAACTTTGTGTTTTCTTTAGTTTTCATGCTGTCGAAAATAGTAGTAGTTGATGAGTCCAAGTGTGAGAAGAAAGGAGATGTGCTGCCACCTCCTGGCTGTAGTTGAAAAGTGGACATTTTATTCTCTTATTCTCTTGAATTGATCAACATTAATCATATTCTACAAAAAATATGTTTAGACAAAAAAAAAAAAGAAATTTTGTCTATTAATGTAGATTTTCCTTTCTCCTCTTGAACTTTGACAAAGACAGAAATGATCACCATCTGTTTTTAGCCTCTGATGTACCCGCAGTCCTAACCCTGTGACATCAGAACATGTAATTATTATAGTCTATTTTATAGTCAATAAAACAGTTTGTTTAAAGGTTTGCTGCATTTTGTATAAGTTCATACTAAAATTTAAAAATACAAAACACTAAACCTATCCTGTTATATGTGTATGCAAAAAATACACAGCACCCAAAATATTTCACAGTTCAACAATACTGATCTTTTTATTTAGCAGAACTGTAAATCTAAGGATTAAAAGTAATATTCAAAAAGTAATTTAAAATGCAATTTTATGCAGATTTCAAAAACTCTTTGGTTCTAAAAAAAGTGCAATATCAGCACAAAATAATGTTTATATTCACAACAAGTTGTAGAATGGTCACTTTTTATAATTAAAGCTGAACATAAATAGACATCCAGGGTGGAAAGCAGTACAAATAAATGCAAACACGGCTTCATGACACTCATCTTTTATCAAGATGGATGTCAGTGTACGCTGTTTCCATCACATTTAACCTGAGATTGAATTTTGTGTAATTTCTATACAAAACTTCAACAAGTATGAAAAAGTATTTTTCATAAATATATATTTTTTTCTTTTGAACCACGAAACTGTTAAGCATGCAACACTGCGTTTTGCAAAGTAAAACTTGAGTCTATGCATCAGACTTAGCAATGACAGATGTCCCAGCTCCATATATCAGTTGTTAAGCTTAACGTGGGAATGCTTTACAAACATTCAGAGATGAACTTACACACTTGCTTTACTTTTCTGGGATAGCTTGCTTGGAGATGAAATTGGCGGCACGTAGCGAGGCTCCAAATGCTTTCAGTCTGAAGTAACTACAGACCGCCGACAGGTCTCGAACGCAAAAGCCGCTCTATGACATGTCATGTCATGACATGTCATGTCAAGTTATGTGAGGCGCTTTTGTAATATTTAACCCTTTCACGCATAGTGGACTCAAAGGTTGTTTTTTAGTATTTGTGTCCGTGTTGATGGTATGCTTGCACATAAACCACTACATTGGACATTTGTTATATTTGTTACATATATAAAAAATGGAGTTCAAAAATCTTTTTTTTTCATGTCTAAAGATGAATTAAAAAAAGGTTGTCGTAATTCATGCATGAAAGGGTTAATGGATAGGCTTACATTTTTCTCCCCGATATCCGATCCAGTAACTTAGGCCAGGATCGGATCGATACCAATACTATATATTAGATCGGTCTATTCCTAGTTGAAACACGGTGTCAGGTTTATATTGTTGAATTGTCATTTATGCTTAGAAACATACAATCATATATGCTTAGAGGTATATAATCAATTGTATAATGATAGAGGTCTGATCCTTAGTAGTCTGCAAAGACACTGTGTGCGTCCCAGAGCACTTTGGCATACACACACATCCTAAAGTCATGAGAGAGGTCATACCTTCTCTCTCTGATTTATACTATGGGAGGACACCTACTCTGTATCTGTTTAATTATAAGAGCCCTTTGTTTAGGTGGACTGCTGGACTCCTGGCACCGGCTTTTTAAGGAGGCGTTCACAGGGTCATATCTTAATACACACACACACACACACACACATACCTACATGACACACAGACAAGGTATTCTTTGTTCACATGTATACCTGTGTAAGATGTCATATGTTAATGATAATAATAATAATAATATTCATGTAACCACAATAAAGAGCAGTGCTACGAGGGAGCAGACTGAGAGTGACTGGGGTTTGAGCGGCAGGAACAGCACTTGTCACAGACATCTCCCTCGTGCACGAGATCACACAAAGAGCTCTGCCTGGTGTCCAATGCTTTTTGCTGTTGTAGAAGAATTGTCTTGGCTGTTCCAGCAATAGGTTTGTGCTTGACAGACCTATTGCTGGAACATTAAGAGGCAGCTGTACATCTGACACTGGACATCAGCTACATCACCTTGGTGTAATTTGCCCTCTGATGGCAGCATATTACTGTGTACCTGTGTTGCCGAAGGGCTTGCGGCACTGTTCAGCAATTTTCTTCTGCTTGTAGCAGAGAGCCAGCTGGTAGTTGAAGGAAGGTAACTGATCGCCCCTTCTCAGTCCTCGTTTAAAGACATCAATATGGGGCGATCGTGGCTCAAGAGTTGGGCGTTCGTCTTGTAATCGGAAGGCTGCCGGTTCGAGCCCCGGTCTCGGTCGTTGTGTCCTTGGGCAAGACACTTCACCCGCTGCCTACTGGTGGTGGTCAGAGGGCCCGGTGGCGCCAGTGTCCGGCAGCCTCGCCTCTGTCAGTGCGCCCCAGGGTGGCTGTGGCTACAATGTAGCTGCCATCACCAGTATGTGAATGTGTGTGGGAATGGGTGGATGACTGGATATGTAAAGCGCTATATAAATACAGGCCATTTATCATTTACAATAGCCTCATCCAGTTGATTCTGAAACACATTTAAAAACACCAATGAGATACATACTAATACACACACACATAAGTTAAAAAACATATATATACGCACACACAAACACACACACACATTTATCGACCAGGAGACACACCATAGAGGTTTCCCATGATGACTCGAACTACATGGTGAAATTTAAGACTGCCTTCACAGAGGACCTATCATAATGTGTAGCTACACTCAACCATCAGTGCCTCATGACTTACGCTGTAAGGATTTAAAGTGTCTTGCAAGGACCTAGCGAGAAGAAGTTTGGACCAGCCTTGAGGCCCTGTTGCAGGAACAGTGTAAGGATGCTACCACAAAGGAACCAGCAAGGACAAAGAGCCTCCTCCTCGATTCATTATCTTCAGACTCTGATTCAAATGAGGAAGTCCTGATACCAGGGCCCTGAGTTTGTACAAAGCAGCATCAGCCAGACAGACTGCCCGCTGCAGTGGTGGTCCTGGCCCACAAATATTTGTTTAGTCCTGCCACTTATGTCTCATGTGAGAGACTGTTCTCACTTTTAGAGCACATAGTAACAAAAAATGTTTGATGATCACTCGGTTTTAGCCTGATGTACAAAATCATTTTAGCTAAGGTTACTCAGAGTTTAAAGGTGAAGCTGGTCATTTTTGTCATTATTACTCAAAGACAATACTATTTGAAAATGTACTTAAAGTACCTAAAATAGCACTTTATTTTTGAGTCTACCCAATTTTGTCAATAGATATTATTTTTTTCTGTTTTGAATTGAGATGCAGTTTAAATGCTTGTGTTAAGTTTCTGTGCAGCACGGTGGCACAGCAAGAAGGTCCTGAGTTCAATTCCACCATTGTCTTTCTGTGTGGAGTTTGCATGTTCTCCCCGTCTTTGCGAGGGTTCTCTCCGGATACTCCGGCTTCCCCCCACAGCCCAACAACATGCAGTTGGTGGGGATAGGTTAATTGATCAATCTGAATTGCCCATAGTTGTGTATGTCGCTGTGTGCTAGCCCTGCGACAGTGTCATGGTTCTAGCTCATTTTGACTCAGCATTTTCATTTGCTTGTATTTTGGTGTTTTTTTCTATATTGTGGTTTATTTTCTGATTCTTTAGTTGTCCTGTTTTGAATATTATAATCCTAAGTTATTCTGGTTAAGACATTTGTTAGGTTTAGTTAAGTGTCTAGTCAGTGCCTGTCATGTTTCAATTTTTATTTTGCAGGTCTGTGTCTTATGTTAGTGTATTCAGTTTTGCTTCCCCTTGTCTTGTCATGTCCAACTAATCCCAGCTGTGTTTCCCTCCTGTCTCTTATTCCCTGATTACCCCAGTATGTTTTAAGCCCTGTGTTTTTCCCTGCCTGTTGTCTTGTCCTCCACATTAGCTGTGTCTTCATGTTTTGTCAGGTTATGTCATGAACTCCCAGTTTAGATCATGTTTCTTGTGCTGATGTATTGTGTTTCTAATTTCGTTTTCTGCCAGTGAATAAATACTGCCGCATTTAAGTTAAATATTCCATCTCTGAGTCCTGCGTTATGGTTTAGTCACTGCCTGCCACACAGCGAACCATGACAGACAGACTGGCAAACCTGTCGAGGGTCTACCTTGCCTCTTGCCCAAAGACAGCTATGCTCCATTTTTGCTGTTCTTGAAGCAAAGGGCAAATACACCTGCACCCAGTGTTTACAGAACAAATCTGAAATGTACTCAACATGTCCCCTGCTGCTGTGGTAACACCCCTAAGCAGCTTGTTTTGTGTTTCTACCTGAGTGCGAGCATCTGGTAGCCAGGCCTTAATCCATCAGACCAACACGTTCTCACTCCCAACTCGTCAAATGTGTGACGCATGGTCAGGCTCCCTCCGCTTCACTTATTGACGGGCAGGGTACCCCCCTCCCATGGTTACCAAACCCAGACAGGTAAACAAAGCAGATTGATTGGATGGACTCTAAAGTTTTGCAAAGTTTAGTTTTTTGCAAAGCATTCAAAGCTTTATTATTTACTTTACATCAGAAGAGTATAGTTTACCAAATTACAAAACTAGCACAAGACAATAAGCCAATGGAGAAAATATTTATTGAGACTATAGATCAGTTTAGCAGTACAATGCTCAAAGTTTTATTTATTTATTTTATTTTATTTTTTGCACTCAGGCAACCCATGACCTGTTAACCTTCAGAAAGCATGCAGGTTTGAGGTGTTTAGCATGAATTTATTTTTTAGACCTGTAGGCTGTCCATCTATATTTTTACTATGCAACTGATACCCTTTTAAGAGCCTACTGATAAAACTGATTAAAAATGATTACAATTAACATTTTAGTCAGAATGTGTCATAATAAGACAAGATTAATTTTCTTGCAGTAAAGTGAATGAAAACCAGACTCATAAATGTCCATTTATTGCTTAATTTATATTCTTCAGCTAACCAATAAATGAATCTGCAACTCACCACTAATGCCGAACGTGCTTGAATGTAAGATTTTCTGAATAGTACATTCTTCTTATTTTAATTTAATTGTTGTTATTGTTCTTGTGACTGCAATTAAAAGTAATCTGGGCAAAGCTGGAAATAAAAAAAAAAAAGAGCACAAACCAGAAGTGGTTTTAAGACTAGACGGCCAAAAT